GCTAAATGAAATAACCACACAAAAAACAAAATACACAAGGCAGTAAAACCAACAGCATCCAAACATACGAAACTGAATACACCAAGAAACAAAAACAATATACACAAGGCAATGAAACACACAGGCATCCAAACATACGAAACGAAATTCTCAAAAAAAAACAAAAACAAAATACACAACGCAATGAAACCAACAGACATCCAAACATACGAAACTGAATACACCAAGAAACAAAAACAATATACACAAGGCAATGAAACACACAGCCATCCAAACATATGAAACGAAATACGCAATGAATAAGCAGTGTTGTTGTTGTTGTTGCTTATATCAAAACATGAAAAAATTGTCTTTTTTATGAAATTTTCAGAGGTGTCTCGGATTTTTGCTCATATCTCCGGTATTTATGGACCGATTTTGCTGATTTTAAATAGCGATCTTCTCGAAAGCATGTCTAACAGAATTATTGAAGATTCGGATCTCGCCGACATCTGGAGTCCTCTAAAAACTGATTTCAACAAACACACAGACGGACAGACAGACGGACATGGCTTAATCAACTCCGCTACCTATAAGGATCCAGAATATATATACTTTATGGGGTCGGAAAATTATATTATAGCAATTACAAACGGAATGACAAACTTATATATACCCTTCTCACGAAGGTGAAGGGTATAACAAGTAAGAAAGTATAGCCGGGCGTGGCCGACCATATGATACCATATGATATGAAAAAAGGTTTATATGGGGGCTTGGGACAAATATGGACCGATCTCGATAAAATCTTGTGAATAGATTTATATTTATATATTTATTTGTGCTGCATTTCATCGCGATATTAATGTTTATATGTGAATTTCGGACATTCAAGTCGTTATCTGAAGGGCATGGCCATGGGAGCTGGAGTCAAATGAGGCCCGATCTTTATGAATTTTAGCAAGGTCATCAAGGCTCTTGTATGAAACTTATTTGTGCTGCTTTCCATCGAGATATAGGTATATTTAACATAATTATGAGCTCAAAGGGCCTTTTCGGGGGGTTCTCTTCCAAGGGGGCCAGGTGAAATAATGGACCGATTTTTTTCAATAGACTTCGTCCTTGGGCCAAAAAAGTGTGTATATCAAATTTCATTGAATTATATTGAAATTGTCTCAGAAAATGATTCTAAGCCGATTGGTATAATTTAAGGTGGGTATAGCAGGAATATTTTTGTGTGTTAGAAACATCACCACAAACCCAATATACCCTCTTCACTAAAGTGGTGTAGGATATAACAAGTATGAGTGCTTTATTCGGCTGTGCCGAATTTTATATACCCTTCACCATAGTGTTAAATTTAAGATTTTTTCTTTAATTTTTCCAAAAAAAATCGCATTTCATTCATAAATGCTTTCCCATTTCTGTGACAAAAAAATTCAAAACAACAAACAAAAATACTAAACGTTGTTTTTCTTGTTTCCAACGGATTATTTAAACAAACAAACACAATGTACACACAAACAAACACAATCACACAATACTAATATTTTTGGACGAAATTATCAGAGGTTGTCTCAGATTTTTGTTCATATCTCCGTTATTTATGAACCGATTTTTTTGTCAGTTAGAATTATCGAAGACTGAGATCCCAAAGATATGTGAGGTCTTCAGAAAATTCTCGGAAACTTGTTTTGTTATTCTGTTTAATTAACTGTTTAAATTAACGTTTTAATGCTGTTAAAAATGGATTATTTTTATCCGTAAACAGCGTTGCCACAGCCAAAATATTTTCCCACCAAAAGTTTTACAAAAAAACTACCATAGTTGCTTTTTATTGTAGAATACCTAGAAGAAATTGTCGATTACTGATTACGCAGATACTCAGGATCTTTACAACACTATTTTTATTTGTGTTTTATTGTTGTCAAAGTGTATTAATATAGTAGCCTAGGCTACTCATTATCCCATCAGATAATTTGTTTAAAACGTAAAAGTTACAAAAACAACAGGCAAATTTTGACAGAAAGGTAGATGTATAACAAAAACAATTGCCTGTGTTTCTGCAGATGTTTGGTGTACAACAAGTTCTGTCGTCGCTTTATTAATACAGTTTGTTGTTGTGTTATAAATCAATTCCACTGTTGCCAATTTAGCTATTTTCTCGTCAAATCTAGCGATTTTTAATCCCATTTTGCGGGGAAAAATATGATTTAGCTATTAGCGGGAAATCTAGCGATTTTTCTTTAGATTTTAAGGCATTTTTTATTCATTTATATTTTGATAATATCGCTTAAAAGTTGCTACGAATGACGATTTACATATATGTATGTATATAAAAATATGCATTCAATGTGAATTATTTGAGTTTTAGCTGTGTGTATTATACTTATTTTGAATGTTCTGAAGAACATAATTAGGAGCAAATATTTGTGCGTAAAGGTAAAGTTATACGAAAAACTTTAAAAGGGGTATATTTTGTTGTACTCAATTAAAAAACGAATATTTAATTATTCTAGTCTTTTAGAAAATGAGTGATATGATAATAAAATTTACCATAATTCTAAAAATTAGTGAACATTGGAAATAAGTGACGAAAGGATCGTTCCATAAACTCCTAAAAATTTACAACATTTCTAAGGCGTATAGGGCCGCATATCGATATTGCAGATAAACTTCCCACAAAAGGAGTTTATAATAATAATCTTGGGTGCCCCGGTAGGCTAGTTGGTAGTGTGCTAGCCTGTCAGTCTGAGGGTTGTGGGTTCGATTCCCAGCAGAGATCCTGGTCTGCTACACTACAACGGTCGTATGGTTATCGTCACCCTGCTCGGTAAATTGTATTGTAATGGAAAAATAAATAATACTCTTATGCCGAAAATAAAGGATCGATCCATAAAGGCCAGCATTTCGAAATTCAATTTATCTTTACAACATTTCTAAAGCAATCTGTATAGGGTCGCATATCGAAATTAACCTCAACTTGACATTTTTCCTAACCCAAAGTGAAAATATTTAACATAAAAAAAGATTCTCTTATGTGTTTGTTATAAGATGTGTTTGTATCACTATCCCATTCCTACGTATGTATATAGATTTTAGCGATAAATCGCTGACTTTTTAAAATAATATAAAAAATCTGAAAAGTTTAGCTAGTTTTTTTTAGCTATTTCTTTTCATAATCATATAATAAATATTATTTTGACGATTTATCGCTAAATTTTTCAAAATGTCTTGAATTTAGCTATTTTCTAGCTATTTTTCAGTCGACTTTAGCGATATTTTTGGGAAAAAAGTTGGCAACAGTGATCAATTCACTGAAAAAATCTCAAAAAGAAAACAATTCTATAAAACAACGGTAAAAGTTTAGAAAATATGTTGCTACAAAAAGTGATCGAATATGGTGGAGAACACGGTTTGCAATAAGTGCATATAGATTGTGATATTTATAATAAGATTTGTGAAGACAGGTGAATTGAAAAACATCCCCAAAAATATTTAGCTAATTAAATATAGTCTGTCTAGCTATTAAAACAAATCCGTACGGCTTCGCACGCATGTTCATACACACACACACGTTTATAAGAACAAGCAGAAACTGTGACTTTGTACAGCACGTCCTCGAATGACGGCTGTAATTGAATTTACAATAATTAAAGTATAAATTTACTAATATTTCGTACATTGTACCGCTTGCATAATTACAAAAAGGTTATTTCAAAGACTCATTTCTTAATCTAGACACATCCACTTAATTTTATCCTATATACCTATTTATTGAAGAAGTAAAAACATTTGTCGGTATAATTACAAGCTTTTAGCACGCTATTTCGTTAGTGAAACTATAGTTTAATATACATAATTTAATTTTAATTATTAATATTTTCCACATGAAATGGTTTATTTTCTAAAAAGTCCAATTTAAGAATTATCCATTTGCTTTTCCAGTGATGTGCATATTATAAGTTAATGTTTTACAAAAGATCATTCCTTTATTGAATAAAGTTTATTCTGAAGGCTATGTTATATCAAACCAGAAAAAATAATCCTAGGCCTCCATCTTGACTGTTGTGCGCTCCTTTTGCATTATCTCTGGTGGGAATTAAAACTGCAACCTCCGGTCTGACAAACTAGAACATTTGCTACTAACTTAGCGGAGTCACACTATCTATGTTATTTAATTTCTATATTGTAACCATGGTGTGAATACAATTTTTATAAAAATCGTGTTAAAGAAATAGTAAAGTCAACATTTTTATCATACTTTTTATTGTTATTCATAAAGTTCATTATCGCACAGGATGATTCGATTCCTTCAGCTACACCTATTGCATAGGCCGCCTAACAAATTACCTGTTTGACTTCATAGGTATAATATGTAACTACATTCATATATACATATGTATGTGTGTAGAAAGAAAGAATATTAATATTTTTTTTAATTACTAATACTCGCAATATGTCTTTTTAATTTATTCGTTTAAAATAAAATAATTTGCGAATAACATAGTCATATAAAAACAAACATGTATGTTTACATAGGTACACTGAAGAAAATATTAGCAGGAATGAATAAATACATATTTATGTTTATTTATTTCTTTATTTAACCAATAGAATAAACTAATTTTGATGTTCTTCAGAAAACAATTTAATTGAATCTCATTTGAAATTAAGAAAATACCTACAGCTTGATTTAAAAAAATTTTAAGAAAATACAAACACAATAGATGTACATAATTTTTATCAGTGTATACATATGAATATACATTAAACATATAAAATGTTTTTGTATTATAAATTCTAGACATGCATATTTAATTTACTGTATTTTGCTCAATTGTCGCTATTTGGATTATATCAATAATAAGTATGTACATATATATTAAAAATAAATACAAATTAATAAAAAGTTGTAAAAATAAGCGGTTTACCCAAATAATAACAATAACATAAAGATTTAATGATACTTGGCGTTATCGCTGGTGTTAGCAGTAGTAGTAGTACTACTGTTTGCGATAAGAAAATACAATTTGCAAATACAATACAAAATCCGCCAAAGTGTTTGTTCTACTTGTATGTACTTTAAACCTAATATTATTCAACGGCTACCACCTTGTTATTATTAGTCTATGATATCTGGACATCCATTTAAAATATTATCAATTAATATTGAACAATATATGTATGCCTGGATTTTCTTGTATGTGTACACAAGCAAAACCATTTTCTGTATATGACTGACTATTCATTCATTCTATGAATGCCTCTTAGCAAGCTCAAGTGTGTGAGTGACACAATGTCGTCGTCTATTGTTATACTTATTTGTATTATTTAATTTGAATTTTATTAATTTACATGTACTTTTTCCATTTACAGGAGCTTCACAGTCGTCTCGCATTGTGCATTAAGATCAAGAGGGGATAATATACAAATAGTTTCGCCATGAAAGGCGTCATACAAGAAGTACAAAACAAATACTCATTTTTAGATAATTTACTAACAAACTTTTGGAAGTCATGGATCAAGTCGAATTTAACGTTCAAATTGCAATTGAAAAATATTAAATGGAAGAATGAAAAAGCAAAACCTGGATTTGCTTACAAGCCAACTGAGGTATTGTACAAAATAATATTAAATATTATTTGTAATAAAAATTTGTCTTTACTTTCAAAAGATTGAGCAATTGGCCAATGTTATAACGCATGGCATCTGGATAATACCGGCTTTGCTGTGTCAATATAAACTTTTTGAACGTTCAAAATCATCTAGTCAGTATTTGGTGTCTTGGGTATATGGTAGTGCTCTCACCCTACTTTTTACTGTATCATCATGTTTTCATTGTTCCTGTTATTGTACAGAACACGAGTAAGTAAATGGATGTATTTACTTTAAATTACTTAGTATTTTATTATAGATATACAGACCATATTTCAAATTGGCCATATGTGATCAATAGACTATCAAGTTAAGTGCCAACATAATTATCATTGATCTACCAAAGTTTTATGATATTAATATCACTTATAATAGTTTCGGATAAGATAACAATGTGACCAAAATTCAATATACATATAAAAATAAGTATGTATGAGAAATAACAAGTGAATAATTAGGGTCTGAAATCGCCATCTGCTTAATATTATTTTTATAACACTATCCAACAAAAAATTTAATTGCATTACACAGAAAACAAGTATAACTTTTAATTTTTAAATGAATTGTTTTCATTAACTAAATTATTCTAGTTCTAATTTAATCACAAGTTCTAAAAAATGTCCACTTAATTAAACTTGCCGGAAAAATGACATGTTTTATTGAACACATGAATACAAATAAATATACTTTTTATTCCATAAATATAATAAGCAACAATAGGATCAAAAGAATTTAAGAATTACGTCAGTTACACTGCATTTTTTTAATATAACAATTTATTCAACTGCAATTCATAAACATAAATACTTAAAATAAATATTTATGACTTCAAATCGAACAAGGTATAATGCTAACTTCATTGACCGCTCGTCTCATTTAAAGCTACATGGCTATGTGCCGAATTATTTCATTGGCAGAATCCCCTTTTATGGCAAACTTGAAGTATTTTTTGAAGTCTAAAAAAGTTTCGTGATTACAATGCAAGGTAAGTTTCTGCGTTCCAAGATAAAAAAGTGTCAGAATTGTTACTTGTTTTATATACATACGTAATGTTTAAATTGTATACAAATATGTGTTGAAATCAATATACATCCCTAGACATTGAATTATTTAATTTGAATTAAAATAAATCTTTACCACGGGAGTCGAACAACATCTTTTTTATGTTAACACTAAGATAATACAATTAATATGTTACAGTGATTTATATATCGCTGATTATTAACTACTTAAAGGGCCATATCTGACAATCATCGGTTTCGACAATTAATAAACGCTTGTTTGATGTTTGTTTTTAATATTTTTGCATTGCAGTGAAAAAAAATAAAAGTTCCATATACATAGATACAACAATAGTATTTTAACAAAAATGAAATACATACATATGTTTTAAAAGTTTTTATTTGCTTTGTTATTTAATTAAGAGCGGGTTTTTGAGATGGTAATCAAATGCCAATTAATAATCAGATTAATTAATCTAAAAATAAATTTAATCTTATGTTAATCCCCTTTGATGTTTTTGAGTACAAGATTAAACTTCGCAGTGTTGCCATACAAAACAACAGAAAACTTCACTGTTTGTTATCAAAACAATGCATATTTTATAAAAAAGAAGAAGACAATTGTAAATTTAATATGAAAATTAATGAAAACTTAAATTAAAAACAAAAAAATGTATTTTGAAGTGTCCATAATTTATACTAATCAATAAATAGAACATTTTAATGTTTATATTTATAAAAATTTTATTAATTTTTTTGCATCAGCTGTTTACACTTTTGCATTTCGTGCTTAAGATTAAACCACATCCATTGGGCGCTTAAACTTGCAAACAAAATTAACTAATTGAGTACTCAAAAACATCTTTCGAGGATTAGTTTTAATTTAATCGCTAATCTTTCACCTAAAGATTGGCCCTAAATGATACAAATTTTACAAACTGAATTTTCGACCACTTTAAGTAGAAACTAAAAGCATTTCTTGGATTCATAAAATTTAAAATATGTTGACGTGTTTCGTAATATTTAATCTTTCGTAAAATGAAGCATGTATTCGGAGACTAACAGGTGTAAATTTTGTGTTTTAATTAACTACTAGATTTTCGTTTTATATAATACTTTGTATCTTTTTCATATTTGCATTATAATTTTAGCGGAGTTAAAAATGTTTTACATCGATGTGATCGAGCAATGATATATATTTTTATAGCAGCTTCATATTTTCCATGGCTAATGTTGGAAAATCCTGATCACTCTGTTGTACTGAGCAGTATGGAATGGATCATTTGGTTAATGGCAGCCAGCGGCATCGCCTATCAACAGGTAGTTCAAATATATTTCCATATCACCTTTTCAGTTTGTAAATAATCTTCTCTTTTTAGATATTTCATGAGCGCTTTAAGTGTTTAGAAACCTGCTTTTATATCTTGATGGGATTGGGTCCGGCACTAGTGGTTTTTTGTACTGGCCATGAATTTCGTGGCATGAACGAGTTAAAGTTGGGAGGCTTCTTCTATATAATAGGAATATGTTTTTTTAAATCGGATGGTGTCATACCCATGGCTCATGCCATATGGCATTTGTTTGTAGTTCTGGCATCGGGTCTACATTATTATGCCATATTGGCTAATTTGTACCCAGCCACATTAGAGTCTTCGATTATAACACATGATGAAATCTTGTAGTGCTAAATGTTACTTAATTTATGGTGATGTATTTAGTTTTAGTTTATTTGAATGGCGTTTAATTTATGTTCTTGGAAAGATTGCATATTATTTTATTTTTTTTTTTTAAACCGAATTTATTATTTATCGAATATTTGTTATTATTTTTGTTTATAATATGTCTTCAGATTTGGCTTCCGTTTCAATATGAATCAAATAAGATAGGGGAAGGGGTATACGAAATCGTACATATATATATATATATATATATATATATATATATATATATATATATATATATATATATATATATATATTAGTCTAGAAAGTTAGTTGTAGAGATGCTATATGGCACAACTATTTATTGAATGGAAACCTCTGTGACTTCCATAAAAAGTATATTTTTTAAGCGTGTTTATCTGCAACCAGTCTGTTACAGTATACCACCTACTTACTGCAAGCAAAGTATGTATATTTTTTATACGAAATATTAATCTTATTAAAACGAACACCCTATTATTATGTAAAGTGTGTGATTTATTCTATATTTACCTCCAAAAAACGATTAACCATAACCACCAATTTTCCAAACTAAAGAAACAGACAAATTTTTAGTGTTCAATAGTGAAAATTCAAAATTCAATTTTAAACGTAGGACGTTTTAATCTCTAAGTAAAAAAATTAGTAAATTCTAGTTTTATTCCTAGTTTGTAATACATACAAAAGTTTTATTGCCAAAATGTTGAAATAAAGATGAACAATATAATGAACAAACTTATCTATCGACCGTCTTATTGTTTTTTATTCTGTGCTAAATATTTCTATTAAAAAGTCCACTGCATTCTTTTGTTCCATAGACAACGCATTCTGAGACTTTCCGCGCTCTAACAATACAACTGGACAGGATAGTAGAGGTGCTGCTTTTTCGGGTACCATACGATTAATGACGCGTTTCCAGGTGTTGCGTATAATTTCAACATGCGGCAAAATATGTTTCTTTAGCGTTGGTAAATCTTCATGGCTTGCAAGCTTTACGAGATGGCAAAGTGCCAAGCAAAGCTGTTCTTGAAGACTATCTCGATGATTGTATTCATGGAAATTTTCCAAATTATAAGATTGCTCTATAGCCTCCAATACAGATGACCAAAACTTTTCATAATGAACACCAAAATGAGATCTTTCCATGATATTTGTTATAGCAGACGAGGCATTAATACGTACTTTGAAGTTGGAATGATGCACTATTACATGACATAAAGCCGAATAAAGTGTATCTTGCCAATTTAAGTCGCTCACGTTGAATATGGTTCGATTGCGCATTAAATTGCTAATGGCATAACAAGTGTTCCATTTTACTTTTGCATTGCCAGAAGAACGAATACAATCCGTTAGCTTACAAATGGATTTTGCAAAGGTTTCACGCCAATTTAATTTGCTATTATCGCTGTTGAAATGTTCGTCGGTTAGTAGTCGCAACAAATTTCCTAATGTTCGCACAGCATTGCAACGAACTTTGTCGTTGTCGCTGCAAGCGGTAGTAGCTGCATTTATAAGACGATAAAGCAAGTCGTTCGAAATATGTTCCTGGCGCAGATACGGCAACTCTGTTGTTCCTTTACCAATAAGAGCATCACTTATATTGCCAAGAGACCAGAAACTTTTTACACGTACTACCAAATTGGAATCTTTTACAAGACGAAGCGTTAATTCTGCAGTATTTTCAATAAACACTAAATCCCCTCGTAAGGATGGGTAAAGAGCGAATACAGCTAGAGCTCTAACAGCAGCTGCACGCACCATGGTCTCTTCAGAGTTATCACTACTAACGCCAGATAGAAAGCTCAGTAGGCTAATTTGACTGGAATGGGTGGTATGTTCATACATCAGAACTCCTATATTTGATAAGGCATCGCACAAAGTAATCCGTACTGTTGTCATCTCCTCAGAATCGCCTCCTATGTGACCCACAATAACGGGCATCATGTTTAACCAAAATTTATTGCACTCACGTATTTCAATATCAGGACATGAGGCATTATCCAACAGATAACGACTAATTTGATAGGCACATGCATCTATACATCGTGCAGCATATAATCGTACATCTGGCAATACATCATTTAAACTGTGCTGCAGTACGTCCGATACCCTTGTCAAGTGTGGTTTAATCATTGCAAAATGTGAACACATAACCATAAGAACTTGTAGACTTTCGATTCGCACTGAAGTTGCTATCGCTTTTTCCTGTCTTGTTAAATTATGCAATACTCGTCTCAATAACCATGATGTATCTTCAGTATTCGGAGATAAACTGGCACTGGTTTTATTTGTTTCTTCATCAGTATTTCGGTTGTCGCAAGTGTCGTCTTCAGAGTCAACATATTCTTCTATATCAACAATGTCAATTTCTTCATCACCCACATGTAATTTTGATCTATTTTTCATTGTCACAGGAAGTCCTACTGCTTCTGCAATATCTTCTGTTGTTTCTGGTAACGCTATCAAAAATTCCATAACCATAAGAGCGGATACTTGAATTGCTGCATCACGATGATATATCAACGGTTTAACGTCTTTTACAAAATTCTGCACAAACCCCCTTTCAAACTGTTGGAATGGTGATGACTGCACTAAAACCGCCAAACACTTGAGAGCTTGTGTCAACACAGGCAATGATGATTCTGAAGATAGTATTGTAGTAAGTGATTTGTAAATGGCAAGTACCGTATATCCTAAGCTTACTGAAAACGGTATAAACGTTGTTGGACATCGTTTGACGTTAATTTCAGACTGGTGCAAAAAGCCCTTTGATCCGTAAAGTAGGTGAGTGCAAACTTGTAGAGCTGCACTGCGACACCTTAAATTGGGATCATGTTGAGCAACATATAGTAAATTATCAATGGATTCAGCTATAGTAAAAATATACAAATAGACAAACCATTAATATTTCATATTTCGATTTTTGAAAAATAAAAATCATTTGGTTAGCTGATTAATTTTGGTATATAAAGAAATTTTCTTATTTGCTACATACATACCTGATCCACTTGGAAAAAAAGCATGCCAATAGCCAAAAAGTGTTTTACGTTCTAGAATTCTTATTACTGCTCCAACTAAGCTAATAGCTGCTAGACGTATTCTTGCTTTTCTGCTTCTCTCGAACAAAATGCGATTTGTCGCATTTTCCGGTTCTGATGCCTCAGAGTCACTTATTTTTATATCAAAAACTGTGGTGTCACATCGGTTTTCCGGGCTACGATTGATTGATTTATAGTCACTCGGTCGTGAATTTTTTACAACAGCTCGTGGTTTTCGCATTTTAGGCGTTTTTCCACCACAACTTCTTGCATTCTCCGAATTAATTATGGTTTCAATTTCTTCCGCTGAGTCGTAAAGAGACTGTTGTGACATATAAACTTTTTGTGGTTTTACCAGGGAAGTCTCTGTTGCATCAACACCGTAATGAAAATATGCCTTTGATATTCCTAACAATTCAGAAACCTGAAGTTTAGCGAAATTCGGATTCATTGTCACTATTTTATGCAATATTTGTAAAGAGCATTGAATCACAACTGTAATATTGAAACTATCCACTACAAGTTTCACGTCTCCATAATGCAACTGGATTAATTTAATGCCCGCATCTGCACATGCTGCGCACTGTTCGTCAGAAAGTTTGACATCATTTAAGGAACTTAGAATTTTGTCCACACACTGTAGAGCCCCTATCAAAAGAGATGGATAAGTCTCATACGAAATATACCTCAATATTATATTAAGTGTAGAAGTGAAATAGCTATCTCCGTAACTAGGATGCAACATGAACAGGGTTCCAAGAGCAATTAATATACGGGACACGGAATCTGTGTTGTTTTCATTACACTGATGTTGTTCTAAAATCCATTTTAACAGAATTTCAAATTGAGATTCATCCAAACTAGGAAGCTTCTGCTGTTCCTGTAAATATGTCATCCAAATAACACACCCAATGGCATCATCAGTTGTGATGCGTGTGTTTGTGGTTGCATTAGTAAGCAGTTGTAATAGCTCCTCAAGACTTCTATGTTGTTGACTTTTATTTTCAACTCCATGTTTTTCAACGTTTTCCAGAAGTTTGAAAACTTGCAAATCTTTTTTATTCGACCGATTTTGACGCAGATGGCATAAAATATTTTCTGCAGTCAATAGCGAGTTCTCCATTATTAACTGAATTTATACAGGTGAATACACTATCAAGATAATTTTATACTTACATTTTTTGTTATATGGTATTTGACAGTCTAACTCAAACAATCTCCATATATAAAAAACAATAAGCTGCGAACACTTGGTCTGCAGCAGCCACCTGCTCAAAGTAAATTAATAAAGTAGCGACACGAGTTGTTGTACAACAAACGTCTACAAAAACCACAGGCAATTTGTTTTTTGTTCGAAATACTCACTTGTCAAAATTTGTTTACAAAAATGAACCAATAATTAATGGAAAATATGGCATTATTGTTGTACTTTCCAAAAATATGTTGTTATTTATATTAAAAGTCACAAAGTTTTCTTTATTTTTTAAAAATTAGAACATTTTTAAAAATATTACACTTAAAATACACTTTTTTCACATTAAATACAGCAAATTACTCAGAAATTTGTACAAAAGCAAGCGTTAAAATGAAAACAAATATGGCAACATAAACATTTTTGACAAGTAAGTCCACAAATAGCAAGTTTAAAAAAAATAGTCAGCTGTTCAAATGAGTCTACTTTATAAATTTACTTTGCACCTGCTGTAAATTTGAGTTCATTGATAATCAGTCATGGCAGAACTAGCGAGGTGACTGCACACTACAATAACACAAAAACACAAAAACAACATGTATTTGTACTAGAATTAAGGTGGAAGTACATAACACGCGTTGAAGCGATAACGCCTTTTAAACTTTTCCTGCTTTATAAGCTGCAAGTTACCACGCGTCATTTTGATTTTTCTTTTAATGCTTTTTAAGACTATTACTGTTCTTGTTTATTTCTTTAATATATATCATTCATTATTTGTGAAATTTATATAATTTTATTTTACTCTTGTGCTGGTCTACACAAGAAAACTTTATTTTTGGGAAACTTTTGATTTTGTGTGTGAGAGAAAGAGAAAAAATATCTTATAGTTATTATGCTAAACGTCAAATTGTTATAATGACAAAAAATTAGCAGGTACAAACGGCATTTATTAGCGTTATAACGTCGTTATAATAGTGTTGTTTAAAGAATTGTTTAGACAACGTTGTCTTGATAACAAACGTCATTGTATTGTAAAATTTTTATAGAATTATGTTTTTGTGTAATTAAAATTGATTTTTAACATAAGTTTTAGTGAAATTAGTGTTTATTTACAAAAGTTACATTTAATTTTAATTGTTGTCGTGATAAAATCAACATTTTGTTACTCCTATGCATTAACATAAACAAAAACAGACAATTTTTCTGCCGACGTTTTGTCAAATGCTGGGATAAATATTTGTCAAATATAGACACGGAGTAAAAGAGAATTAACAAAATATTTCTCATCTAAAGCTTCCTTGTGTAGACAAGCACTTATTCTACACAAAACAAAATACAACCCTGATACAACCCTGACGCGTCAAAAGTTGAATGTTGTTGAACTTTTCGCGGCAAATGCGTTACAAACTACAGTGTGTATCTTGTTTAATGAAAATACACTATTTCAACTTTATTTTGACAGAAGCTTTAACGCGTTGCCGCGTAAAACTCGTGTTGTATACCTCCACCTTAAAGGTGAAAGTACACAACACGCGTTGCACGCGGCAGCTTGTTATAGGCTTCTGTCAAAAAAAGTTGAAATAGTGTATTTTCATTTAACAAGTTACACACTGTAGTTTGTAACGCGTCTGCCGCGAAAAGTCCAGCAACTTTTGACGCGTCGGCAGCTTATTAGGGTTGTATTTTGTTCCGTGTAGAATAAGAATAAACTAAAATGAAATAAATTTCACCAACATTGAAAGAAAAATATTAAAATATAAACAAAAACTTAAAAGTTTTATTTTTAAGGAAAATAATAAAAATGAATGAAAATATATATTTACACCAAACACTTTAGTAAAGACCACAATAAAAACATATGTTTCGGTGGTCTTTTCCAATGATTGACAATGTTACTGAGAGTAACAGCATCAGAAGAAGAAGAAGTATAATAAGTAGGTAGGTAGGTAGGTAGGTTGATAGGAGGATGTATATTACATCAAATCCGAAGAAATACACCTAGGCCACTATCGGGACTGTTGTGCGTTCCTTAACATGAAACAAACAAAAAAAAAAAGGGAACTGAATGAATTATTTTTCAGTGTTCATAAACTCAGTTTCCTGAACGTAATTCCTAAGAATCTTCCAATCAGTGTTAGTCAGGAATGTTATTTCCGGAATAAAATCACTGTGTAGAATAAGAATAAACTAAAATGAAATAAATTTCTTCAACAATGGAAGAAAAATATTAAAAAGTATACAAAAACTTATAATTTTGATTTTTAAAACAGTAGTAGTCTTAAAAAATATTAAAAGAAAGATCAAAATGACGCGTAATGTGTAACTTGCAGCTTGTAAAGCTGAAAAGTTTGATAAGCGTAAAACGCGTTGCCGCCTCAACGCGTGTTGTGTACTTCCACCTTAAAGCTGCATGGCCACACGTCAACATTTGGTCAAAACTTGTTTATGTGTTAGTAATTTGTTCCAGCAATCATTGAGGAAGAAGAAGCATAAATTTCATTTTTATTTAGATTTTACGACGACATCATTTTTTTACCGCATGGTGATAATAAAATGTATGAAAAAATTTTATGCGTTATGTGTCTATACTGTTACACATACAATTTTTACCATTATTATAAATGTAATTTTTGCTGTAAAAAACAATTATCCATTTCTTTAAATTATTTTTTTATTAATGAAAAAATGTTTTATTAAAAAACTTTTCTTTGTATATTTCAAGTAAAATTTGGTACTGTGTCTGCAAATAAATTCGAATATGATTTTTTTTCATCCATATTTCATTTACCTTGCGGCAAAAAATGTGATGTTGTCTCACCAAAAACTAAATAAAAATGAATTTATGCTTCTTCTTCTTCAAGGTATGCTACATCTGCTTCAATTTCAGTTGAAAATCAAAAGTGTTTTGATTTTCATCAAACCAGTAACACAATCAAAAAAAATCCTGTGTGTGTAAATTTGTTTGATCATTGCCATCACCCTTAAGACTTAAAAAATCATTTCAATAATGCTTAGTCCTCTTTTACATGAGACTTTTTCCCCCTGAGGTTTTCTCAATTTTCTTTTAAATGCCCTTCGTGAAATCTTGAATGTTTACATTGAGACTTTTAAGGCATGCCTGCTTTTTAAAATTATGATGTAAAAGTTGCCATTTTTTATAATTCTTAATTTATTGTTTTAAATATTTTATAAATGAATAAATCTATTTCTTTAATATTTGTTATATTAAATATTGTTTTAATTAATTAAGTAAATATTTATATAAACAAATTTATGAAAAAATACTAAAATACTTTAAAATACATATTTTTGAAACTATTAGCTGTATGTTTTAGTTCTTCTTATAGTTAATTATTTTTTATTAAAGATATAATAACATTTTAATACTCATAACATTTGAAAAAATAAATTATTTTTAAATTAATTGAAATATGTAAAAAATTAAATTATTGCAAATGGCAACACTAATTCATGTGTGAAAGTAGTCGCACACGATCTTTACGCTGTGAGAGCAGAATAGAAATAAAGCAACTAGCAAAATCACGAACACGAAGGAAAAGCAATGTCGAAAAAACCCCTCAAATTACGATTCGTGCGTGTCCTGCTACTTCCCTTCCTTCTTTGCCTAGAAACACGACACGCTTGCGTGCTCACTCCTGAGAAAAAGTCTCAATGTAAAAGTGGAAATAGTATCATATGGGCGAAAGGGATTGTTAAAGACCTAATTAAACAACATAAACATTGTAAAGGGTGATGACAATACGTCAAAATTTGGTCAAAACTTATTAGTGTTAGTAATTTATTTCAATAATCATTGAAGAGAAGAAGCATAAATTTTATTTTTATTTAGATTTTGCGACGGTAGTATCATTTTTTACCGCATGGTGATAAAAAAAAAATATGAAAAAAATGTATACGTTATTTGTCGACATAAAATTTTTACCATTATATAAATGTAATTTTTGCTGTAAAAAACAATTATTTATTTTTTTAATAATGAAAATATGTTTTATTAAAAAACTTGATATTTTTCTTGGTATATTTCAAGTAAAATTTTGTACTGTGCCTTTAAATAAATTCGAATATGATTTTATTTTTCATCCATATTTTATTTACCTTGCAGCAAAAAATGATGTTGTCTCACCAAAAACTAAATAAAAATGAATTTATGCTTCTGCTGCTTCAATTTCAGTTGAAAATCAAAAGTGGTTTCATTTTCATCAAACCACTGCGTTTGAGTTTTTGTCACTAACAGAATCAAAAAAATCCTGTGTGTGTAAATTTGTTTGATCGTTTCCATCACCCTTAAAAGAAGTAAAAAAAGTCGACAAAAATATAAAGTCGGAAAATCGACTTTTTGTTAAACTAGAAGCCCTAAAAATTGTTACCATCACTGTTGTCAAGTTGCACCATCAATGATGGAAATTTAGCGATTTTAAAAACGATTTAACTGCAGTATGCACCTGGGATGGCAAATGGAATTTTAAAATTATACAAAACAGCATTACACCAAGTTCACACAAAGAGTTAAATTATACCAGGTTCGAGCAGTTGAATTACTTAATTCGGGCTCTGAATGACAATAGACAATTAACCCGTTTCTACGACACATTCGTAATTGGTTTTGACAGTTTATCGCCATGTTGTTTTTTTATTCATTATTTGCTAATTTCTTGGAATATTAGTGTGTGTGTATGATACAAAAATACGTTTGTTACATTCTTTTAACAAATTATGTTATATATTTTTATTTGCATTTTTTTTTAATTTTATCTTTTATTTGTCTCAAACCAATGAAAACAAACAGCTGATTATGATAAATACCCAATAAAAATTAGAGATGGCACTCATTCATTCGTAATTCGTACGTAGTGTTATCAGAACAGCTGATCGTTTTTTGCTATTATGTTCATTTTTCGCCGTGGTGTATAATTAATGTCAAACTTTGTTTACATTTTATAAATGTCAAACTTTTTTT